AGTAGCAATTCAATGAACCAGAGAGGTGAAACAAATAAACATTAAGGAAATGCCAGCAGAAGGAAGAGTTTAAAAGCTGATAAGTAAATGTATCAAGATGTGCTAAAATTTTTAATGAACTTGTCAAACTTTCAGTACATTAATTTTCTTTCAGATTTAAAGTTCATACTTCAATGAAGTCTAACTTCTATTTAAAAATCTGCTTGGAATGAATCAGATACAGTTTAAAGTGAACTCAAAGGTAAAGATGATTACTCCAGGAGTTCTGAGTAGTCAAAGATAGCAAGTTTATTTAATTAAATATCCCCTTATGGCTAAAAATTGCTTAGATCCATTCTTCAGTGCAGGTAAATGCAAATGTGAAATTCTTCTAGGAGATAAGTTTCATTTAGTTCTGCCTTAATAAGTGTAATTCCAAATAATGAGTCTAAGTGACTGTAACCCAATTATGGTTACAGTTTAGTAAACAAGACAAGTTTTGATTGTGATTTAAAAGTATTTTCCTTACAAAACTGGATAATACCTAGAAAACAAAGGAAAACAAAGATAAACCCAATATTCATGTAAAAATTTAATATTTAAAATACTACCATATTTATAAATTTGAAATCTTAGTGTCTAAGTATATGGAGGGAAATGCATCTGATTCTCCTAAATTAGTGATAAAAGTGCCAGTGTGAAAACCATGCAAGTTACTGAATATAAAACCTGTTCAAATCATTAGTGTATATTCTTTAAATTTTAATTATACTATCAATTATTAAATATTTCCAATTTCAAAGTATTTAATTGAATCAAAATAAAACATTCCTTTATTTGGATCTTTTAGACTCGATGCCCAGTAACTAAAATAATGACTCTTGTTTTAATACCCTTAGTTTGCTGTCTTTGATGAGGGTATCACGAAGTTCTAAAATGTATTTTTTAGGTTAATCTTTAACTAGTTTAGTTTTGCCAATTAGTTAGTGTATATTTTGTGTAGTTATGTTCATTTGTTTGCTTCTGTATTTTTTAAAAAGAACAATTGAAAGCTTGGCTTTTTCTGTTTCTCATCACTTAATATCTTTGTATTAGAACCTGAATAATTTATTCATTAATATGAAATGTTGGTATTATGTGACTCAGAAGATCTTGGGTTTTAAAGTTTCTAGCATGAGTTAAACTATAATATAATGTACTGATGAAATTTAATTGAAATATCCTTGACTAGAAACACTGATGTTTTTGATGTTAGTGTTTTTTCTTAGCTTTAGAAATCCTGGTATTAAAAAAAAAAGAGTGTAATCACACCACATAAATTTTCTTAGATGATGTGCGGAAGAAACTGATTGAGAATGCAGGAGTAACTGTAGGGAGAAACATTTTGATCACTGATATGCCTAGAACTACCAAATGAATTACATTGAGGGTAGTCAAATAAAATAGACCACTCCACCACAGTCACTGCATAGAAAGTGGTTAAGTTTGACATAAAACATGTTGAATGTTATGAAAACAAATATTGTACTGAATTTAGTCTCTCAGGAAAAAATAAATTACTTTGTTGAAAATATTTGGTTTCATTTTTTACATTTGTGTTAATTTCTAACATTGTATTATTTATGTCTAAAAACCACATGAATTTCATTTAGCTGAAAAGAGCCTTTCTGGTTTCAATTTCATTCCTTTTTTTTTTTTTTTAAAAGATTGATTTATTTATTATGTATACAGAAGATGGCACCAGATCTTATTACAGATGGTAGTGAGCCACCATGTGGTTGCTGGGAATTGAACTCAGGACCTCTGGAAGATCAGTCGGTGCTCTTAACCTCTGAGCCATCTCTCCAGCCCCCTCAATTTCATTCCTAACACCTAAGAATATTGGTAGATGATTGTGATTCAGATTAGATTCCACTTGACCTCTTTTAAAGATGAAACTTGCTTTGCCTTGCTTAATAAAAACTCTAGGGAGACCTTTACAGGACAGTGGTCATAAGTCATAAACCTGTCTGTTAAGGAAAACCAAACCGTGGGCTGGGGAGGAAGCTCAGTTGGGTGAATGCTTACAGAGTACGCAAGAGAGCCTGGGTTGCTCCTAGGCACTGTATAAACCTTGTGTGGTGCATGCCTGTAATCCAGCATTAGCTAGGGGAGGGCAAGAGAATCAGGAAGTCAAAGCTATCATCAATGACGATGTTCTTGAGGCTAGATTTAGCACTTGAGAGTTGGGAGGTCGAGGCAGGAGAATCAGAAGGCAAAGCCCAGCCTCGGCTAAATAAAGGCCAGCTGTGGCTCTCTTGTCACAACCAAGATCTTTGAAATGTTGCTTTAGTGTCATTTTCTATAGTACAGGATCCCCACAGGCAAACCTCTATCTCCAAAAAGTATTTACATTACTATTTTTTTGTTTTTTTGTTTTGTTTTGTTTTTTGTTTTGTTTTTTTTTTTGTTTTTTCGAGACAGGATTTCTCTGTGTAGCTTTGCACCTTTCCTGGGACTCAATTGGTAGCCCAGGCTGGCCTCGAACTCACAGAGATCCGCCTGCCTCTGCCTCCCGAGTGCTGGGATTAAAGGTGTGCCCCACCACCGCCCGGCTTACATTACTATTCTTAATGGTAGCAAAATTACAGTTATGAAATAGCAACAAAAATAACTATGGTTGGGGGTCAGTCAGCATGACATGAGGAACTATGTTAAAGGGTTGCGGCATTAGGAAGGTTGCCGTGGGTTCCTAGTTGTCCTGGAACTTGTTATGTGAGCCTCCGGCTTGCGGTGATGCTGCTGTTCCTGCCTCCCCAGTGATGGTATTATAGGCATGTACCACTACACCTTGCTAGATGGTTCTTAAATGCTTCTAAATTGCAGCTTACAAAAATATTAAAAATTACCACATAAAATGTTCTCTAATTCAAAGAAATGTATTTTTCTTTTTAAATTTGTGTGTACATGCATACACATATGCCACAGTGGGTGTGGGGGTCAGGACAACTTTCTATAGTCGGTCTCTCCTAACATCATGTGGGTCCTGGAGAGTGAACTCATCAGGATTGGCAGCACATGCCTTTACCCACTCAACTGATATAGCCCATGTTTTTATTTTACTTTAAAAGTGTATGTATGTCTGTGTGTTAGTAAGTACACATAAACACATAGAATAAAAGAAATGGCCGGGCGGTGGTGGCCTTTAATCCCAGCACTCGGGAGGCAGAGGCAGGCAGATCTGAGTTCGAGGCCAGCCTGGTCTACAGAGCGAGATCTAGGACAGGCACCAAAGCTACACAGAGAAACCCTGTCTCGAAAAACAAAAATAAAACAAAACAAAAAAATGCTTTTTAAATTCGATAGAGAAAGCAAGGAAGACACCATACACAAATATATATAAAGGTATTTGAAACTTACCTTAAGTCATTCTATCATTACCCCTTCCATTTCACTAAGTGGTTACAAAAGTTTTGGAGGAATTAATATTATAATGAAAATTCCATTGATGGCTGGAGTTCAGATCACTGGCTGCTCTTCAGAGGACTTGATTCCAGGTTTGATTTCCAGCACCCACAAGGTGGCTGACAACCACCAGTCCCTCCAGTCCCTGGGGATCCCATGCCCTCTTCTGGCTTCCAGTGGCACTACATGCACACATGCAGACAAAACACCCATACACATAAAAATAAGAATTTAATTTTTAGCTGGGCTGTGGTGGCCTTTAATCCCAGCACTTGGGAGGCAGAGGCAGGTGGATTTCTGTGAGTTTGAAGCCAGCCTGGTCTACAGAGCTAGGTCAGGGCTACTCCAACAAACTCTGTCTTGAAAAACAAATACAAACACCCAATCACTGGGCATGCTTTAGTGAAACATTTCACTATTAGGATAAGAATCTGTACCATATCAAGCTGATGAAAGAAAATGCTGGTACTTTCAGGAGGGGAGGCTAAAATCTTTTTAGATTATGGAGTAGCCTATAGAAAAATGTCTGCCATAAATCAGTGAAGGGGAAGATGAATAGGAATCTCACACAACTTAAGTAAAACATAGCTCTCTGAACATATGAAGATAGGTTTCTTCTGTATCCCAGAATCTAATCAATATTTATATGTATAATCCAGCTATCATTTGTCTTAAAAGGGCTTATTGGGAAATGTTATCAATTATACTATTTTCTACAGAGAAAATATTTTACTGTTTAAAATAACCCTAGACTTTTAAATTATAACCTGTTTTTATGTTAAAAAAATATAATTAAAAAAAAACAAAAAATAGTATCTTAAGTGAATAACCTAACCAAAGCCCAATGAGCTGATTGTTTTTTATTTAAGCATTAGTTGGATGTACACTATAACATAGAGTCCCATGACACATGCCTATAATCCCTGCAGTTGGAAAGCTGAAGCAAGGTCAGGAATTCAAGGGAAACCTAGGTTACAAAGCAGGAGGCAGCCTAGGCCTCCTCAAAAACAAACAAAAAACTAGCGAATTGAAACAAATACCTTAAGGGATGGATATAATCTTGAATCCTTCAGAAGCCAAAATCAAGGTGAGAAGGAGGTCCTAAAATAAGAATTACTAAATTAAAACAGGTTCTCGAATATACTCTTCAGAGCTGTGGCTCACTGCTTCCATCACATAAATTTCAAAGCCAACTTACTCAAGCTCCAAAAAACAATCCTCTGAGCTAATCTTTCCTTCACAGGAAACTTGGAAACAAATTTAAGAGAGAAGACATTTCACTTGCAGAGTATATCTTTTTTTTTTTTTTAAGATTTATTTATTATGTAGACAGTGTTCTGCCAGCATGCCAGAAGAGGGCACCAGATCTCTTTACAGATGGTTGTGAGCCACCATGTGGTTGCTGGAAATTGAACTCATGACCTCTGCAACAATAGCCAGTGCTCTTAACCTCTGAGCCATCTCTCCAGCCCCACAGGGTATATCTTACAGGGCTGACCAGACAATAAAGACCATTCCCAAGGGACTAGCCACACATACCTTCCCATCAGCAGCCAGAAAAAACAAGGCAGACAACACTGACTTAAATAAAGTTTATTTAAAAAAAGAAAAAGGTGGTTATTTTTACAATGTCATGGTTGTAGGATAAAGAGGCAGCATTATCTCCTTAACCATGTTTTTTTTTTTTTTTTTGCTTCTGCACAAAGGTAGCTAATTATACAAAAACAAGTCAGAAGACTTTCTCCAAATACTAGTAAATATTAGGTTTTATAGGCCACATATGGTCTCAATCATGAAAGTCTTTCTTTTATAACCTTTTAAAAATGTAAAAAACCATTTTAGTTTGCCCCATACAAAAAAAGACTGGGCCAAACATGGCCTGTGAGTGGTAGTCTTCTAACCCCTGGTATAAAATATCTATTGTATCTTGTCAGAGAAATTGTTCTCTTGAGGCTTTTGATAGCTGTTGCCCAAAGTCAAGTACAGAAGGACTGTATTTACAACTGGACGTGGCTGTAGAGAGGCAGAACTGGAGTTTCTGCTCACCCTTGACTCCACTCACTCATTCCGTAAGTTTGTTAACCACCAACTATATACACACTTAAGTATCTGTGTTAGCAAAATTTCCAGTGTTTTTCTCTAAAAAAGTAATTCCTTCAGTTTCTCTAAACCAGGAATTATTAGGTCTTAATACTCATGTTGCAGGTGTGTCCAACCTGTGGCCTAGGATAGCGTAAATCCAGTCTAACACAAAATCATAAACTTACTTTTAAAACATGATTTTTTTTTCGAGTTTTAAAAAAAGTCATGTCACACTGTCAAAAGGTTGGACATGCCTGCAGAATAAATCAAGATTAAAATCAAAAGGGGATTCAAGGGAACTCATGATTTATCTTGCTAACAATGATAACCTTATACCCCAAACTGACATATCCTCCTTAAGGTCACAGACTACAGGAAAAGTATGTAGCTCTCTATTTTAAAAGACACTTGACTCTCCATAGGTTAAGTTCTCCTTCACTGCTGGGGATCGACCCCAGGGCCTTTTATGCTAAGTGGACACTCAACACAACCGCAGCTTGAGCCCAAGCTGACACATTAAAAAAAAAGACTGGATCTATCACACCCCAAATGCCATCTTGCGCTTTCCTAATGTGATGCCTTATAAAACCTGGATTTATGTAGGGCTCTTCATTAGCTACTTCAGTCATAAAACACTGCTACTACAAGTTAGGTGTAGCCGTTTATGCTCATAATCCTAAGGCTGAGAAACTTAGCCAAGGACACTGCACCGAGTTCAAGGCCAGCCTAGACTACAGAATGAAAGAAACCCTGTTTCAAAGCAAAAACCACTACATTTTGAGGCAAATATTGCCAAGGGAGCAATTTATACTTCTTCTTTTTTTTTTTTTTTTAAATCTCAGAAGGAATGGTCATGTTTCCTTCAGGATGTTAGCTTTCTGAATCTGGCTAATTATACAAAGTGAGGGAAGACCTTTTTTAAAAAAAACAAGCCAGAAGAACACAGGATTTCAGTACTAAAACAGAAAAGTTACCCTAATTCCAGATCTTTGGTAAAGATACTAACTATAATTGATTGCTCACACCACCAAAACATGGCACATTTTGTTACAAGTGATTGTGATTTTTCCTTTTGAACATGTAAACAAAGGGGGAAAGCCTTAGGAAATTTGGGGAAATGCATTAGTCTCAGTTCTCTTAAATACACAGACGCACAATCAGTTCATGGGCGGGAGGAAGGGAGTGGGCCGAGGTTATCGCTTGCGTTCCCCCTTCTGGGTCCTTTTCCTCTCCTTCTCCTTGCGCTCCTGCTTGGCTAGTTTGTCCTTCTCCCTCTGCAGCTTGTCCTGTTCCTTCTTCCTTTGGGACTCATCCCGAAGTGAGTCTCGCTCCAATTTCCGAGCGTTGAGAACATCTTCCACATTGGTGTTTCGGAAGAGAGCTACTAGAGAGTTAAGAGATCGAGTACACATTCCTCAGTCTTGATGCCCCTTCTCCACACACTGAACCCTAAATGCACTCTAAGGCTCCTAGGATGAAGAAAGGGTCTTTGGTTTGGGCTAGAGAGATGGCTGGCTGCTCAGTGGTCATAAAACTTGCTCTAGCAGAGGCTGAGTTCCAGACAATGGCTCACTCCCATGCAGAACTCTAGTTCCAGGGGATCCAGTGCCCTCTTCTGGCCTCTGGGGGCACCAGACATTAGGCGTGCGCGCGCGCGTGCGTGCGTGCGTGCGTGCGTGCGTGTGTGCAGCAAAACATATTAAAAAAAAAAAAAAAAGAATCATTGGTCTGATGGGAACTCCTAAAATTACAAGTACAGACCTAAAATGTTCCTTGGATTAAAAGAAAAAAAATCTCATTTGGGCTGGGCAGTGGTGGTACAAACTTTTAATCCCGGCACTCCAAAGATTTTTTTTTTAATGTATGAGTGTTTTGCTACACACACACACACACACACACACACACACACACACACACACACACACACACACACAGAAACTGTCTCCAAAAACAATAAAAAACCTCATTTGGACAACTAAACCTGAACTTTGAAATATTTTATAAAAATGAATTTCATTAACAAGGACATCCAAAAAAGTACAAATAAAGTTTATACTTATATATAAAGTCGATCCAATTAAAAAAGTAAAATCTTGCTCCAAACTAAGTCCAAACAGTATTCTATAGAATGCTGGGCTGAGTCTAGGTTAAGTCAATAAAGAGAACATCACTGTGGCAGAAAAAATGCTTATGCACTTGGCACTATTAAAATGCTTTCAAGTAATTAAGGTTTATTCTTATTGAATTTTGTTAATTTGGGCTTTTTTTTCTAGACTAGCGTTTAAGTGAAAAGCAATGTTATTTTGTCAACACTGAACTTATAAGACATAAGTTTAACAAAAATTAGAAAACAGTCAAAAACTTTATTCCTTATTTCTTTCACCTTTAAAAATAAAATATCAGGGGCTGGAGAGATGGCTCAGCAGTTAAGAGCACTGGCTGCTATTCCAGAGGACTGGAGTTCAATTCCCAGAATCGACATAGTGGCTCACAACCCTCTGTAACTCCAGTTCTGGGGGATCTGATCTCTCTCTTCTGGCCTCTGGGGCATCAGCACACACATGGTACATATATGCACACAGGCACTAAAAGGTAAAATGTATCAGGCAATCTCCTCTACATTCTTGAAATGTGACTTTTTTCTACATTAGGCTAGAAAATAAATGAGTTTCAGGCCGAGGAGAGAGCTCGGCAACACAGCACTTACCTAAGCATACCCAAGGCCCTGGGGTCAATCCCTCACACCAAAACTGAAGTCCTGAGATACTGATAACCCACTATAAGCCCTCACCTAGGAGGTGAATTTCTAGATTTACCTTCTTAGGAATATCTCAGAGTAACCTGTTAGTGGAGACTTTCCTCAACACACATTTCAATACTGATTGTATTTTCAGCTTCAAGCATTTAGTATCTGTATTCTCTTTGCAATTACAAGGTTTTGAGAATAAAGATAAAACTTTAACATTTTAATTTTCCTAGTCCTGGGTAAATCAGAGTTCCAAGGATTAGAACTTTTTATTTTCTCTTAGGCATCCTTCTAGCTGGGTGTGGTGGCTCATGCCTTACAGGAGATAAAGGCAATTCAAGGACAGCCTCCAATATAGCCATTTTAAGTTTATCCTGGGCTAAAAGAGACTGTTGTTTTAAAAAACAAAAACCAGCTGGGTGGCGGTGGCGCACACCTTTAATCCCGGTACTCGGGAGGCAGAGCCAGGCAGATCTCTGTGAGTTCGAGGCCAGCCTGGACTACAGAGTGAGTTCCAGGGCAGGCTCCAAAGCTACACAGAGAAACCCTCTCTCTAAAAAACAAAAAACCAAACCAGGTGAAGTCCAGTGTGGTGGCCCATGACTTTAATTCCAGCACTCGGGGAGGCAGAGGCAGGCAATCTTTGAGAGTTCACGGCCAGCCTGGTCTACAGAACAAGTTCCAGATCATTCAGGACTACATAGAGAAACCCTGTTTCAAAAATCAAAATCAAAAAGCAACCAGCCAGGTGTGGTAGTGCATTCCTTTAAGCCTAGCACTCAAGAGACAGAGGCAGGCAGATCTCTGAGGTCCAGGCAAGCCTGGTCTATATACAGAGATTTCCAGGCAAGCCAGGACTACATCATTAAGATTCTGTCTCCCAAACAACAAACAAACAAACAAGTAGAACAAAACTCCCCACCCCCTTCGTTAGGGGTGGCACATGCTTTTAATCACAGCACTTGGAAGTGGAGGCAGATTAGGAATTCAAAGTCACCCTAGCAAGTTGGAGGCTAGCACCAAGTATGTGTCAACTTGTTTTCTTTGGGTGGTGTATGCTAAGCTGACTATCCAGGCTATGTTAGGCATGGGCTCCCAGTACTGGCATGACATGACATCCTTGGAGATAAGAGGGAACCTAGAGCAGTGAGAGCAAAATGACAACTGATTTCTAGAAGGGCCTTGGAGAACAAGGGATGGACAAAGAGAAGGATACATTTGTCAGAACCGGCGTTTGCTGTCGAAGCACCCGGGTCGTCTTTCTCATCTGTGTCGGTGAGTGACGTTAAGGAAAACCAGGTGGAAAAAAGGCCACACACACATCTCAAATTGAGTTTGAAAAACAGTCAGTAGACATGGTTAGGAGAAGCAAGCTGAATGCAGTGAGGACAGGGTCATGGGTGTGACGGTAAACCCAGGAGACTCATTTCTGAAAATGTTAATTTAGGGGAAATGCCTCAAGCTTCTCTAAGATCCACTTCTAGCCGGGGGGTGGTGGTGGTGGCGGCGGCGGCGGCGGCGGCGCACGCCTTTAGTCCCAGCCCTCAGGAGGCAGATCTCTGAATTCGAGGCCAGCCTGGTCTACAGAGTGAGTTCCAGGAAAGGTGCAAAGCTACACAGAGAAACCCTATCTCGAAAAACCAAAAAAAAAAAAAAAAAAATTATTTACAGAAGAGAGGAAGTATGGTACTACACCGTGTATAAAAGTATTCATGATGTTCACCTCGACTGTCGGCTTGATGGGACTTGGAGTCACCATGGACACAAACCTCTGGGATGTCTGTGATAGAGTTTCTAGATGGGTTAAGCCTGAATATGGGAGGCAACCCTTCCTTGGGCTGCAGTCTGGATGAACAAAAGGGAAGGCCGGTTGACAGCAGCTGATTCCTCTCCGCCTCCTGACTGTGGATGCAATGTGAGCAGTGGGCGCCTGCTCTGCCGCCATGCCTTACCCGCCATGATGGAGGGGGTCAGTTCAAACTGTAAGCCAAATAACCATCCTCTCATTTCTCCTTTGTATTTGGTGATAGCAGTAAGAAAAGTAAGTGATACAGTGTCACACAAGTACAAGGATCACAGCAATTTCTTATTCTCGAAATAGCATCAACAGTCCATTAAAGGCATTATTTGTTTCACACTGAACTGTTCTGGAGTATACCAATTATGTGTTGAAGATTTAAGTCCCATGTCAACTATTTTAACATCATTTTTGTTGTTGTTGTTTTGTTTTTTGTTTTTCAACACAGGGTTTCTTTGTGTAGCTCTGGCTGTCCTGGAACTCACTGTGTAGACCAGGCTAGCCTCAAACTCAGAGATCCACCTGCCTCTGCCTCCAGAGTGCTAGGATTAAAGGCCTGCGCTGACATTGCCTGGCCTGACATCATTTCTTAAATCCACAAAGGCCCAGGATCACTGTCATTTTGAAGGAGAAAAGGAAGCTAGAGAGAGGGATTGCAACTTCTTGGGGGGCGTGTAGACTGTCCAACATTCCTAGCCTGAGCCTTGGGAAATGGTGCTGAGCCTCTAAAAAGGATATTCCTCTTCGTCTGTCACATCAGCATACTGGGCCAGCAGGGCGGCTTTCCTCTGCCTCTCCTCTTCAGAAACCATCCTGGGCTTCACCACGATCTGTGCCTGCTTCTCAATCAAGGTGGCGATGGCCTGAACCTCATCTGCCAGGCAGATGGAGGGGGTGGGGGGACACAAGGAGAGCATGAAGGTGAAAACAAGGACCCAAATCACTAACCCACCTGGTCAGTGCTGGTCCCCGAGGACTCAGGAGTCATCCGGGAGACAAGGTAAAGCTATGCAGGCTTTAAGTCTTCCTAAAAATGGTTTTGATTATGTTTACTTATTGGGATGTGTGTGTGTGTGTGTGCACTGAAGTCCAGAGGACAACTCAGGAGAGCTGGAGTCAGCTCTCTCCTTTAGGGGGTTCCAGGGATGGAACTGGGGACCCCAGGCTTGCGCTACACTTGTTGGGCCATCTCACTGTTCTAGAGGAACTTTTTTTAAAACACCAGTACCGCAGCTAAAGATGGCTCAGTGTTTGAAAGCACAGACTTCTCGCAAAGGACCTCAGTTCAGTTCCTATCACCCACAGAGGGTGTCTCACAGCAACCTGTAACTGCAGCTTGAGGAGATCCAACGCCTCTGTGAGCACCTCCACTTACATGCACAAACCCACACACAAACAAATACACATTAAAATAAAAAAGTTGATCTTAAAAAGACAGTTTTTAATTCCATGACCTTAAAAAATTACTTATTTCATGTGCATTGGTGGTTTTGCCTGCATGTATGTCTGTATGAGGGTGCCAGATCCCCTGGAACTGGAGTTACAGACAGTTGTGAGCTGACATGTGGGTGCTGGGAATTGAACCTGGGTCCTCTGGAGGACCAGCCAGTGCTCTTAACCACTGAGCCATCTCCCCAGCCTTTAATTCCATGCCTTTAATTCCAGCAAAACAAACCAAAGACAAACAAATACAAATGCCTGTGCCCCAAACCCAGTAAATCATGTGATTCTATTGCATACTCAAGACAGAACTAACAGTGTATACTTTTTTTTCCCCGAGATAGGGTTTTTCTATGTAGTCCTGGCTGTCCTAGAACTTGCTCTGAAGACCAGGCTGGCCTTGAACTCATGGCGATCTGCCTGCCTCAATAATGTCTAGTTTAGGTTAGATTCTTCACAAGTTTGACTTCTTTGTTTTGAGTTTTCTCTAGCTAATTCACCATCCTAATTCACAGACAAGCGCATTCCTCTCTCATGTTGGGGGGGGGGGGCGGGGCGGGTAGGATTCAGCCAAATGGAGCAGAACCTCTACCATAATTATGCTCTGCGATGAGACCGTGAGAGGCGGCTGAGCTGGTGACACAGCTCAGTGGGCGAAGGCTCCTGCCTTCCGGACTGTTGTCAACGTGAGTTTAGAAGACAATCGCTGCCCCTGTGTGTGTGATGCAACTCTACTAGGGGCACAGGATGGCAGCAAAGCACAAACAACGATGATGCAGGTGTTGTGATGCACACCTGCAGCGCATGGGGGTGGGGGTGGGGCTGAGGCCAAGGGTCAGGAATTCAAGGGGAGCAGGGGCTACAGAGAGGCCCAGGCAGGCCGGGCGGTACTGGCGGTCGCCTTTGGTCTTAGCACTCAGGAGGCAGAGGTAGGCAGATCTCTGAGTTCGAGGCCAGCCTGGTCTACAGAGAGTTCCAGGACAGCTAGGGCTACACACACAGATAAACCCCGTCTCAAAAACCAGAAAAAGGGGTTGGGGATTTAGCTCAGTGGTAGAGTGCTTGCCTAGCAAGCCCTGGGTTCGGTCCACAACTCCGGGAAAATAAAAAGTTCCAGGCAAGCCTAGGCTATATACAATGAGACTTTGTTTCAAAGAAACACACACCTACACCACAATGAACATGACTGTGGTCAGGGTAGTAGACTAGAAAGACACAAAAGGAAATCCATGGTTAGTAAAATCTTAAAGTGAGCTGATGCAAATCATCTTAGGGCGAGTGAGTACCCAAAGGAGAAAATGAAACTCTCGCTCCCTAACAGCTGTACAGGAAAAAGCCCTGGAGGTTGAACCTGAAACAGTAACTGAGACCAGGGAGAAGCTCAGTGAGTAGAGGCACTCTCCACCATCCTCATGGCCTGAACTTGATCCCTATGGACCACAAGGTGGAAAGACAGATCCAAATCCTGAAAGTTGACCTGACCCTAATACACCTCAGGAACATTCACGAATGCACGCATGCACACATACAACATGCATACTACACACTCACACTACATACACACTACACACAGATGCACGCTACGTACACACATGCATACTACACACACACACACACACACACACACACACACACACACACACACACACCACAGCTTACATAGAAGAATAAATGTTTTTCAAAAAGAAAGGCCAACTCTACCTTCTTTTTTTACTTTGGTGGTGACATTTTGTGTTTCTGACCATCGTTCCACAATTTCCTTACAGATATCAAGGAGAGAATCTTCTTCCTAGTTAGAAAAGCACACTAGTTAATTTCCTAAAAAGCCTTCAAAAATAACAGCTAGCCAAGAAAGGCATGTGCAGAACACCGCTCTCCCCTCTGGAAAAGAGAAGAAACCCTGGAGGGCCTAGGCCACAGCAGAGTGTGCTTCTCATCTGAGTAATCCCAGAACTCACACCTGCTGGGTCCAGAGTGCCCACTCTGCCCTGCCGCTGACTTAGGGTAACCCTCCTCAGGCTTCACTTATTTTTTGTTTTTTTTTTTGTTTTGTTTTGTTTTGTTTTTTGGAGACAGGGTTTCTCTTGTAGTTTTGGTGCCTGTCCTGGATCTCGCTCTATAGACCAGGCTGGCCTCAAACTCACAGAGATCCGCCTGGCTCTACCTCCTGAGCACTGGGATTAAAGGCGTACACCACCACCACCACCACCACCACCACCACCACCACCACCACCACCACCACCACCCCCCCCAGGCTATTTATACCATCTTATATTTTTATTTATACCATCTTATATTTTTATTTATACCATCTTATATTTTTATTTATACCATCTTATATTGTATACTACCTTGAATCTTACCTCAAATTCTCACTAACAAACTCCCTAATCCCTAACAGTGAATTCATTTTGTTTCTCCAAGAATGAGCTTTCTGCAAAAGTCAAGGGCCTTTGGCATTACAGTCAAACAGAACCATGACTCTGAAATATCCTCTGCAGAGACCACATGCTCTGTAGAGATGCTCTCGGTTGCTTCATGACAGGACTCCTGCCCACTACAATCGCCGGCAGTTCTTCCCAGGGACAGTAAACCACATATAAATGGGGTTCAGAAAACTATGAGAAAGTTAAACATGACATGTGAATTTGACAGACAGGGAAATCATCCTTAAAATGATTTCTGTCTCCTGTAGTTTATACACGAGGCAGCTAAGAACCTAATGTGTCTTGATAGCGTGGCCTCTTCTACCGAGAGTCTGAACAAGCACTTGCTTCTCCTTAGCAATAGATACAGACTCCATTACCGTCACCAGGGAAAATACTAAGTATGAAACTCAACCTCTTCCCAGAGTCCTTAGAAACCTCACAACTGCAAATAATACCCCCAAATCCTCACTTTTCATCCTTACTTCTTCTAATCTGCAATTCAGGGTCGAAGGAAAGAACTTACCACGCTGTGTTCTCACTGAACCTCCAAGCTGCATTAGCTCTTTTCCCTTTACAGACAGACCAAGGCTTCTTGCCAGTGGGAGCGGGGAAAGCTGCAGTGTTCTATGTCCAGCATGTTCTCATCAACGAACTGAGCCCTAGTGTGTGTCTCTAGCATGTGCCCCATATCCAATAATTATTTTTAGACTGGAAAAGCCTTCTGTCTGTCTATAAAAATGTACATGTATATTTACATCTGTGCTCACCATACCTTTTGATTCTTAGTAGTCCTTGAATATTGGCTTCTTTAAAAAGATTTATTTATTATGTATACAGTGTTCCGCCTGCATGTATGCCTGTGTGCCAGAAGAGAGCACCAGATCTCATTATGGATGGTTGTGAGTCACCATGTGGTTGCTGGGAATTGAACTCAGGACCTCTTAACTGCTGAGCCATCTCTCCAGCCCTGTATATTGGCTTTAAGGACAACAGATGAACCCATTCTCCAAACCTGATCATCGTGACAGACATCAAAGAACAAAGCCTTTGAGGAGCTGGAGACTTTCATAGCAGCAAGAGCTCCCCTAAACCTTGTGTGAGGACATCGAGTTCTATGGTACTTAGTGAAGACACAGCAAACTTTACTTTTGAGCTGATTGTATTTATTCACTTATGAGATTTTTATTTTATGTATTTATGTGTTTTGCCTGAATGTGTATGCCTGTGTACCACATGCATGCCTGCTACCCATGGAGGTCAGAAGAGGGCGTCTGATCCTCTGAAACTAGAATTACAGATGATTGTGAGCCACTGTGTGGGTGGGTGTTGGTAAAGGAACTCAAGCCCTTTGTAAGAGTGTCAAGTGCTCTTAACCACTGAGCCATCTCTCCAGCCACGGAGTTGATTATTATATTAAAAAGAAAGACTGCAGGAGAGTCACAACCAACACATGCAGGGGAATCTAATCTATGCATCCAATCTACTTAACGTCTCTGTTGGGAGTGGTAAAGCTGGGATGAACTCCATACAAATGATCAGATTAGAAAAGTGGGCATCTTGGTCACGCGATACATAAATACAGCTTTAAAGTACAAATTTCTGAATTAGCGATTCTGCCTGTTTTGTTTTTCTAGGCCCTCACTTTGTAAGCCCAAAGTTGGCCTCCAGCTTGCTGTCCTCCCCAGAGCCGGGACAAGAGACATGCACCATGGCACACGTGGCATGAATCTGCTTTTAGGTTTTCGAGACAGGGTTTCTCTGTGCCCTGGCTGTCCTGAACTCACTACGCAGACCACAAAGATCGCCTGCCTCGTCCTCCTGAGAGCTGGGATTAAAGGCGTGCACCACTACGCCCAGCCCATGAACCTGCTTCTAAGAGGCTAAATACCTTACTTGTTTTCCCAATCTGTCTCATCACACCGCCCCACCCAACACCATCAATAATTACTGAATTTCCAAATACTGCTTACCATGAAAAGATCTTCACCACCAGCTTACCTTTTGAAGACTCATCTCTGAACTAGGAGCCAAGAGGGAACTTCCTACTGGCTTTTGTTGTGGGACAGCCCTAAGACTATTCCCCCCTAATGGGCAGACATCTCAAGAACATTTTATTCCCCCTCTGAACACTGCAAACTGATGGGAATGGAATTGTTACACGTTTATGACCAAACTGCCGTTCACACATCTCAATGGCTTCAGAACACTATCGAGAACATCCAAAGGCACCCCAGGAAGCCTTGTTGCCAGGAACACGGGGATCCCACTCCTCTCTATGCACCTGCAACCTTCAGGCTTCCCAAAATCTGTCTGGGGAGCAGCAACCCCCTTCCCCCTCAGAGCAGGCTTCTTCCCGATAAACCCACTAAGACTTCGTGCCGGCACCAGGAGGAGAGAGACGTGAAGTGCGGCAGGGGTTCCCAGACGTCTCCGTGAGACTGATGGAATGTGTCCGGACCCCTCTACTCACCAGGAAAGCAGAGAGGATACCCTGCAGGGCGTCCAGCTTCTCTTCCTCCTCCTCCTCCTGTAGGACACCAAGGATGTAAGCGCCATAAACGGCCCGGTCCACTCCCAGCGCCTCCAACCGTCCGTCCAGCCAGGATCCAAAGCCCGCGCCATCGCCTTCACCGAGCACTGCCGCCGCCACTTCGCTGGGCGCCGCCATGCTGGGGACAGGGTCCTGCCGGACCCGGAGGCGCCTACCGCAGTGCCTGACGGGCCGCGCCACCGGCCCAGCGCGCATGCCTGGAGAGGCAGCCTCCACCCCTGCGCGCCGGGCTGGGACGGAGATCCGGGAGGGTGTGCGCCGGCCAATGAGGCTCTTGGTTTACCCGTGGCCGCGTGGTCCTCCCGGAGCTCCGGCAGGTGAGTTTTTAACGGACTGGTTATAGTTGGCAACGATCAGATTCAGTGTCATGGTCAGCCACGGGACGGAGAGCTCAGAGGACTGGCGCCCACCACGACGGATTCCAGCGCTTCGGCAAGCACTTGTGGGGTGTTCTGAAGCCAGGGTGCCCCTCGAGTCTTGTGCCCCCAATACCACCGTCGTTACCATGCCAAGGCTCCCTCCCTGAAAACCCACATTCCAGAAGACGTTCTCTGACTCATCACCGTACAGAGACACACAGTAGATGCTCAACAGTTGAACTGCTTAGCACCCTCAAGAGTCATTGCTTGCACTCATTGCCCCCCATATTTCCACATTGAGTATCTTTGAAGAGTGCCTTAGTTACAGTTTCCATTGTTGTGATAAGACACCGTGACTGACAGCAGCTTGGGGAGAAAAGGATTTATTTCAGCTTCCACTCTTGGGTCACACTCCCATCACTGAGGAACTCAAGGCAGGAACCTGGAAGCAGGAGTCATGGGCACTGCTTAGTGGTTTGTTCCACGTGCTTTGCTCAGCTCGCTTTTTTTTTTTTTTTTTCTCGAGACAGGGTTTCTCTGTGTTGTTTTGGAGCCTGCCCTGGATCTCGCTCTGTAGAGCAGGCTGGCCTCGAACTCACAGAGATCCGCCTGTCTCTGCCTCCCGAGTGCTGGGATTAAGGGCGTGTGCCACCACCGCCTGGCTCAGCTCGCTTTCTTATACCATCCAGGAGACACCTTCCCAGGAGTGATACCACCCACAATAGTTCGTCGTC